TGTTGATGGAACACTACACTCCAGCCTGAGCTAAAACAGAGTAGCTGTCAGCTGAAAGCATTATAGGTGAAATATTGTAAATTCTTTGATAAAATCAATTTTTTTTCTTGTAACAATTGGTGATTTGTTTTAGTGAAATAAAACCATCTAAAAATGACAAAGTTCCATCTCATTGGCAAGGTAATGATGTGTGCATAGGTCAGGCCACAAATGGAGATAATGATGGTAGTCATTTACCATATTTACTGGATTACCATCTGCAATTTTATGGCTGATTTAAAGCCACTTTATTCACTCTGTTGTAACAGCATTTTCACAATCAAATGTACATCAGACATTCTTTGATCATCCCATTATTGCTGAAGCAGCAAGGAACAGTTTGGTTCAGTTCAGAGAAAGTATTTAATCACATCACATTCCAGATGATTCATATTTACATTCAGTATCTTCCTGTTCTCAGCTCAGATTCTAAGTGAGTTATTGGTCTGAGAGATAATGGATTAAAAGTTGAGCACATCCTTCTATCCTAACTGAATTACACAGAAATTGCCAAAGGTATTAGTAGACTTATACTGTATGCCCTGCAAATTATTTTTCATCAGTTTTTAATTTAATATGTAATTTCAATACATTTGGTTCTATATAATTATTAAATATAGTGTCATTCCATTTCAACATACTGATCTGATATATTTAATTAGACAAAATAATTAAACTTAATGAAATTATTTCAATTTGGTGCACAGTTCTTGTTTATTTAAATTGTTGCTTTTATATTAAGGGCTATCTACTATATGTCTATCCGCCTATCCAGCTATTTGGTAGCTGGATAGATGACTACAATATAACTTACAGTAAGCTGGCAAGCTTATGTGTAAACTGCAACATATTCAAGCAATTGAACAATATTATGCTTCACCTTCTATTATTTTTCTCTTTACTAGGCGGGATTTAATTTAAGATTTAATATGCTGGTGTTGAACAACTCCTTTGTGTCCAAGCTGATATAATCAACATTGATAGCCAGGGTTGTTAACCCTCAGTCATCTGGTCTAAGTCTCACCCATACCGCTTATTCTCAGCCTCTCACATGCAAATTAGTTCTATTAAAGAAAGCTGGTTAATGATACAGACACATTGTTTATCATAGGACTGTCTGTGATCGGTTTTTCCAAACAGTGGGAGTTTGACCATCTGTTGGATTTTTTGTTGTGGAAGACGGGCTGCGCTAACTTTGATGCTAGCTTTGCGAAATACTGAGATTTACTGGATAAACATGTATTATAGTAAAACTGCATCCCATGTCCAGGTCAAATTTCATTTCAAGCTCATATTTGGAGTGAGTGGCAGCCCAGCTTTAGCATTGTTAGCAGCTAACAGTTTTTGCATACAGGTGGAAATGGCATGTCTCTGCTATTTAGCGCTCTGGTCAGCCAAAAATAAAATTAGATGTTGGGTTTCCTCAGCACACCAATGACCAGTCTTTGCTGTCATGTTTGTTGCTTCTTTGTTCAGCTTACTGAGTTTATTTCTCTGTTGACTGGTGGTGATGACTGTGACATCATGGCTTGAGCAGAAAAAAAAGTTGTTCTGCAGTGGCAGAGTTGAACAACAATTCATGAAGTGGAACCTCTTTTTTTCTGCGTAATCAGGCACCTATGATTCAACAACAAATCCAAATTGTGTTGGTGGAAAAGGCTTCTGTGGGGACTCTGCTGGAGGGAGGCACAGAGCGTCCCGATCTGTGATCGTCAACTCCTCACCAGCTTCTTGTTGCTGGGCTGTTGGACTGAGCGCTTCAGGAGGTCCGTTTTCCTCACAGCCATCAGAATACACAACTCTGTCAGTAACTAATGACCTCTTTGATTAGACTGTACTGGTACATTGCACAGTTTGGCTAACTGCATAATGAAATACATTACACTTTGCTTTCTTGTTTTACTCTATATTTTTAACTGCTTTTTTGTGATTTTGAGTTATAGAATAACATTTCAAAAATTTTTTAGATTATTTCACACTAAGCCTTTTTAACATATAAAGGTGTTTGAAAGGTGTGAATAGATGGCATACTAACCCCAAATCTATTCCTACTGCACATATTATTGAGCTGTATATGGACATGGCAGATAGAGGTATTCTTAAGTTGTTTTCATGTTTAAAAGTCGCTTTATCCTGTCAGGAGGAGAAAAGCATTTCATTTCTCAGAGCAGATATTTTCCCTGACTTTAAAGTGTTCGACACATAAAGTATTATGCTGTGATTTGTTTGTAACCTTCACTTTCCTGTGTGTTCTTTTGGAGTTTCTCTGCCCCTGAAGAGCTTAGTTAGCCCACTTTCACCTGCACCTCCTTCTGTTGACTTGTGAAATGTGTCTCACTCCCTTTTGATGAAATGGCTCCCGATATGTCCAGTGCACAAACAGGCTGCATTATATATAACCATCTATCAAGCGGCAACAGATTTCTGATTTCTCAGAGGATGAGGAAAAATGCAAACTGAGAATCCCTCATACGGAACCACTTGAACTGCAAGAGGCAGTACGTGTGGAACTGAGAATTTATTCTGATGGCTGTAAACTAGAGATTTATATATGATTATTTCATCTTTGTTCTGAATATCTAAATTTTTAGTCACTGTTAAAACATGAAGTCTTTACACGCTCCTTTGGCAGAACAATCCTGTCCATTTTCTACATTTCAGTTTCGCTATTCTTTAGATGTGAAAACTAGTTTGAAGAAAAAGAATGACTTTTCTTCAGCTTGCTACCTGACATTAATGTCCTTTCTCTTGCTGCCATGGTAACCTGCTATAAGCAATCCCACAATAAGGCTACTTGCCAATTCTCGGTAACACCACAACATGTGGCCAACTTTACACCTGACTGTTGTCAATCTTGAGCAGTGTGTACTGCAGCTGCCTTTTTAAAAATTAAAACATTAATAAGAGGAAACAGATGGTCGTAAAAACTGATTACCCTGGACCATTTAAAAAAAAAAAAGCAAAAGTCAGAGTCAGCTGCAACTGTTTATTACAAGATGAAGAATTTCTTCTAAAAGATAGGATTTTATTTTCCATCCTCAGAGGTACAGGAGCTTAGTGGGACAATTCCAAAATCTAACACTAATGTAAGGTTAAGTTAAAGGTCACGCAAACCTTTTAGGAACATTTAACATTTTCTGTTTTTCCCAAATTAATCAAATAAAGAACTGCCTTCGGTTGGAGTCCTGGTAGGTGGAGGACATAATCTACCATGGCTGATGTATTTTACACCTACCAAAAATCAGAATGAAAACTCTGAAAAGAGTTAACACAAACGCTAATTTGTGTTAAAATTCTAATTTTGCTAATTGGCTAATGATGGAATGTATATTGCACATTTAAATCAGAAAATAGTTCAAATGCAAAATTATGTTTTTTCTACATTGAGAAGTTTTGCGTACATTTGTCATGGAAAGGCAGCGACTCGGATGAGGTGACTTGAAACAGGAAAAAAAGAACTCCAGTAGTGATCATGTTGCTCATCAAGATTTTACTACTGGTAGAAAAGACAAAGACGAAAACAGGAGGTCTTGGGACCACAATGAGCACAGGATGTTTTTCAATGACTCATTGCATGAACGAGCTTGATCATTCATGCGAGTAAACGATCAAGCTTTCTTATCGTTCACATGTGATTTTATTTGCGCATTATTTCATGGAAACACCACAATTGCAAAATTGTTTTTTATTGACATTAGTGGAAAAGTGACAAAATTTTGTGCATATTTATAATTTATTTTGTAGTAGAGTTTTTTTCCTCTTTCTACAGCTTTAACCCTTGTGCGTAGGCCTGTCGCGATAAATGATAGATCGATTAATCGGACGATAAAAAAAAGCTATCAAGCCCATTTAAATGATCAGCGTTATCGTTTCTCCCTGTATTTTTCCATGACACTGGATGAGAAAGCTCAACTCCGGTGCTCTCCATTGACCCCTCCCTTGCTCATTTTTTGGGAAGGGAAAAAAATGAGGAGGGGCGGGGGAGGAGAGAACTATTGCATCAGGTAGTTAGCGACGTAGCGTGCATCATTTTGTACTTCTGCAGCTTTAGCACTCCGTGAGGAGTTAGCAAGGTAAAGAAACACCATCTGATATTGGGGAAAAGCTCGAAATGGAACTGATTTCAAAGCCGAATGCAACTGCAGCAGAGTGGGAGTATTTTGGATTCAAACCAAATGACCGAGGCGAACCGCTGAACCTTTGCGAGCCGGTATGTCACATTTGTCATAAAACAGTAGCAACTAAGAGCAGCAATACAACCAACTTGTACAAGCACCTAAAGCACAACCATCCAGCAAATTTTTTTACAGCTGGGGACAAAAAGTAAAATCGGTGACCCGTCTCCGTCTTCAAGTTCGCAACAGTCCACCATCACTGAAGCAATTAGTCGACAGGCAGTGTACAAAAAGGACGGCGCAAAGTGGTGCGCACTCACAGACAGCGTTGTTCACTTAATTGCTAAAGAAATTCTCCCATTTAAAATAGTTGAAAAACCAGCATTTCGAAAAATGTTGCAAACATTTGATAGACAGTACGAAATCCCCGGAAAAACATACATATCACACACGGCTATTCCACAACTGTACAACAGTATTAAAGAGGACGTAAAGGAGGAGATAAAAGACATTTCATTTTACTCTGCTACGTCGGATATGTGGTCAAGTTCAAATATGACCCCTTATATGAGCTTGACGATTCACTATATAAGTGCTGACTGGACCCTGCACTCTAAATGTTTAGAGACCAGATATGTCCCAGATAACCGTACTGCTGACACCTTGGGTGAAAACCTGAAAGCTACTTTAGCAGACTGGGGACTAGGTGAGGACAAACTGGTCTGCATCACAACAGACAACGGTGCTAATGTAGCAGAGTTAATTTTATTTATTTATTTTATTTTTCTTTATGAACCTTCTCAAAACAAATTTTCTTTGAATTGACATGTCTGTTATATGTTATTTCTGTTTTATTTTGCTTTCATTTCTGGTTCCTAGTGTGTAAAAAGCCATCCTCATCTATGAATATTTGTTTTCCTTTGTTTTTTAATTGTATTTTATTTTGGTGGGGAAGCTTTTATTTTCTTACTTCCTGTTTTTGCGTTATATCCTGTGTGTTCCCGCTGCCCTCCTCAGTTCGCGCCAAGCTGCGCTGGGGAGAGGTAAGTGTACAGAGTTGTCTTTCATTTGTGTATTAAAATATTGAAAACGTTCTAAAAAATATGTTGTAAACTCACATGTTATATATATATTGTTGTTTAACTGTTCATGTTTAGCGCAGCACTGTGCTGGGCATTTGTCTCCCACATTGGTGACACCCATCAAGTTTTCTGTATCAACGTGGTTATTTATTTTTTTTTATTTATTTATTTTTCTTTTGGTTGGTTAGGGTGTTTGTGGAGAATCCGGAGCCCAGGAGCTGCTGTGTTTAAAATGTTCTTGTTTTGAACAGGTATGTGTGTCGTTTCAAATTTTATTTGGATGTTAAATTAATGTATTTAGTATATTTCTATGTTATGATGGAAAATTGTAATTATAGGGCAGATTATTTCTGTTTAGGTTTTATTTTAATTGTTTTGTATGACTGTAGATTTATTTTATTAATGAACCTCAGAAAATTTTGGTTTTGTTTAATGCATTTCTGTGTCAGTTCGCGCCAAGCTGCGCTGGGGAGAGGGTGTTTGTGGAGAATCCGGAGCCCATGAGCTGCTGTATTTAAAATGTTCTTGTTTTGAACAGGAATAAAATTATTCTGAATCCTGATTCTGGTGTGGTTCTGACTTCCTGTTACCAACCGCTACATCTGGTGCCGTGACCCGGATGCCTAGATCAGCCGCTGCCAATCACCGAGGTTCTGCTGTGTGCTTGGAACGTCGAATGCTCAAGTTGGTGGAGTAGTGGGTTCTCTCAGGCTCCATCTTGGTTGCTATTCTGCAACTGTATATAACTGTTTCTAAGCAAAAAACTGGATCACAAGGTTTCAGGTTAATAACCTAAAAAAAAAAAGTCTTTGCTGCCTCCTGCATATTTACTATTTGTTAAGGGATGTTTTTATAGCAAGATTGTTTTCTGTGTTTTGTTTTATATACTATGGCAGAGAAAAATAAAAAAAAACATATGATGTATTTTCATCCCCTGTTGGAAGAGGGAGAGGTTTACTTAGCTTAGAGAAAACCTTTGTTAATGACACTCCAGGAGCTACCTCTAAAATGCAGTTTACATTGGATGATGGTAGAGACAGACACAAACCACTGCATTCGACACCCACTGATTCCAGTGAGCGCACCACTACACATCAGTTACGTGAACTTATTGGAGAATTAGGAAGTCAAATCGGTGAATCCATAGCTAGCCGGCTCCTAGCCTGCCAGCCAGCTCTTAGCTCACAGGTTCCTCCCAATAAATCATCTAGAGCTGAATCATTCACAGCAACTGCTGACACCTCCAAAATAAGTCTGATAGTCAGACCTGATATTAAGGACCCATCCATGTTTCGTGGTGATGGCACAGACAAGTACTCCATTCATGAGTGGATAGACACAGTTGAAGTGTACCTACAGAAACGAGACCTCCCACCTTCTGAACAAGCAGAGGAAGTTTTAAACCATCTCTGTGGCAAAGCTAAAAGTATTGTCAAAGTGTGCCTGAAGAGTAGCTCAACCGGCAACACCTCAGAAGCACCAGAGACAATATACAACATTCTGAGGCGCTACTTCAGTGATACTCCTGGCTCGTGTCTACCTTTGGCCGATTTCGACGGCTAAGGAAACGTTGACTATTGGATCAGATTAAACACTGCTGCAGAAGTGGCAGACAGGCATCTAAAGTCCCAGGGGGGGTAAAATGGACAACATGGACTCAGAAATTGCCCAGACCCCAACCTTGCTAGTGTCTTTAAATGCCAGCCCACAAGCAAATGGTCCCTGGCTGATGTGCAAGAGGCTATTGATGAGCATCAGAGGGAGTACCAAGCTAAAAAAACAACCACAACCCTGCCTAATGCACATGCTCTTCATGTAGCTGCCGCTGTAACAGCCAGTGAACCCCTAGAAAATAACGCAGAGTACACCAATGTAAACACAGCCAAGCTATCTGACCCTGCTAAACCAAGTACAGCTGTTGTTTCAGAGTCAAATGCTTTGGAGAGAGTACTTAGCATGCTAGAAAGAGTACTAGAGTGTACAAGTCAGCCTAGTCCTTCTGCTGTCCGACCAGAGACTGCTCCATTCAGCCATGGTTCCCCTTGCAGGGTCTGCAGACAGATCTCACATTCCACACGTACACATTGTATGAGGGAGAAAAGATGTCTAGAATGCTTAGAGACTAGGCATCAAAGAAAGGACTGTCCCAAGGGGTCTTCAAATCGACCAGGCAACATTTTACCGCATCAGGGAAACTAAAACACTCACATGAGGGAGGTGATAGTGTGAGTGATAGAGACAAAACCCTCAACCTTGAAGATGATGCACAGACCGTTTACACTGAGTGTGTAAATTCCTCTCCATCTAATACTGCTGTTCTATTCCAGAACATAAATAGGCTTGACAAAGCTGACAGTCTGTTCTATACAGATGCTGAGGTGGAGGATAAAGTATCGTTGAAAGCCCTGCTCGACACTGGCTCAATGACATGTACTATCAGTGAAGAAGCTGAACAAATGTTAATGTGTACAGATTCAGTCTCCATGTCTAAAGATATTTGCCCTGACATCACACTTGTTGGTTGTGGTGGAGTGAAAGTTAAGCCTAAATGCATTTATGACCTAAAGATGAAAGTGTATGGCTGCACCTTCAGAGTCCCTGCACTGGTTGTTCCTGGGCAGCAAGATGAAAT